ACACTAGTCATGTGACTTCGCTTACGCAACAATATTTTATTACAGAACCCATTTTCTATTATTTTATTTAGATTTTATCTATAAACACTTTTCTACTCTTTTAAATGTAAAATATGTTTGAAACTCATTGGCTTTCCAGTTAAAACTGCTGTTCAAATATTTTCATCTTGTACTGTTATTAATTATAATATGAAGCATAATTGCTCATATTTGACAACAAATACAAAAGGTCAAGTACATAATATTAAAACGAATTTGAATTTGATAAACCAGTAAGATGCATAACAACTATAGCCGATATAAAGTCGCGGTGGAAAAGTGTGTATCAGAAGCACATTTTAAAATTGTTTGGCATGTTGTAGGTAGTATGATGTCCCAGAAAATCAATTGGTTTTGGGAAGGATATTAACAGCCCTTTCCGAACAATATATTCATGTACTCAGATCATAGAGCTGTGTTTAGGTCGGGGATTGAGATTATGCAAGACTCGGTTATTCTTTACTTAATTGAATTGGAAAACAAAGGAATATGGATCAACTTGTGACACCAGGATCATCCAGAAAGAGACCTGCAACAAGTTGTATATCAGCCATGGTAAACATCTTGTAACCGTGAAAACTGACGAAAACGAAGGTCGTACAAAAGCTGCCTACTTCCCCAGGCAACAGTGCGACGTAAGAAATAAGGATTTACATCTGGAAGAATGACAAGCCATGTGTGTACATAAGTCGCTTGCATGACATATGTGTTCAACTGTCACTGTCAGGTTTCTTGTATAGGGGCCGGATTCTTTACAGTAGGTGTCTGTGACTTTTTGGTGCTAAATTTTAACAATAAACAGACAGCACGCAATCGCCAGTTACAGCTAAATTGATACCACTCAGTCTAACTTCACTTTCACTAATTTACTTAACTTCTTGCACTCTTTATCTGCACGTATTTATTTTTATTTGTTAACAGAAAAATCTTGAAATATCTAACCCTCTAGTGACAACAATATTCACATAACGAGAAAAACTTAGAAGCTTCGAGTAAGATGACGTCAACAATATTACCAAAGACAATCAAACTGCATACACAACGTACGACTTTTATCGAGTTACATAACGACACTTGTCATAACTATTGCTTTTAAAATAATTAACTTTTAACACTCTGTTATGAAACTAAATAATCATTGATTATTAACTCACTAAATAATAACTCTTAAACTAAACAGTCTTGTATATGCAACAGTCACATACTTAAAGCAGCTGAAGAATGAGACAGGTATTCCTTCTATTCCTTACGAAGACACATTGGTCAAGTCACTGATGTAGCACCTATGGATTTCTGTAAAATAAGGCTGTCGAAACAGGAAACTGCCATCCTCTTACACTAGATATATTATGAAAAGCTGCAGGAGGAAAGGGTGTGCTTTGGGCATGACAGTCACACTACAGAGCCTTTTGCAATTGAAATTACGCTGTAGAGAAATTGTCATGATGCACAGTTGTCAGATAGAGCATGACTAAATGTGGGAATATGGACTGTAGCGATGTGGTACGGCTCCATAATCGTTTTAATATAAAATGCTCAACCTTTGTATAACACAATGTTCAACTAATAACTACAATATTAAAAGTGAACGACACATGTCTTCTTCTCTTACAGAAATATTAAACAAATTTAAAACATTTCTTCAATTACCTTAATCAATATAAATAGAAGTGTTATCCCGAATAATCAAAAATATTTACTATCTGTGTATGCTGACTTATATTAGTTTTTTTGATGATATCTATAAATATTTGGAACTACTTATACAACATTATGATACATCAAACATTTTTTTTGTGTGAAAAAATATTCCATCCGTAAAACTCATATTTAGTTAAGCATTTATATATATATTTTTAAACAGTATACTAAATATGATTGGGAGTAAAAACTTCCCAGACTTAACTATCAAGTTTTGGTTTTTGACGTTTCCCAAATAACAATGTATAATAGAATGAACATTCTGCTATAGCAAATTGAAAGTGAATAATTTAATGTAATATAGCATACAAAGGGTAAGTACAAAAATATTTCTTAAAAACTATTTTAATTTTATCACTAATAAGGAAGAATTAATATCAATACAATGTACTAGGCGTGATCGGAAAGACATGGGATTTTATAGGTCAACCATATAAGATTATAATTAAAAACGTACACCAAAAGTGCTCAGGAAGTGGACAACCATACATTACTTCTCAATATAGTTCCTAATGAATTTCCTCCATTATTATCTGAGTTTCATAATACAGTCTGGTAAAAATGCAAGTGAGAGGATCACAAATGTGAAAGCCACATAGTGTTGGGCTATGACTACGCGTATTAAGAACCTGATACCCTCTTCTTCCAGGAAGTTTTAACCATTGGGCATTTTGGGGAATGCATTATCATCCATTAGAAAAAAAGATCTGATCCACTTCACATTGTTCAAAACCAATAACATTTACAATTGTCATTTCGTAAATATGTTACACGCCACTATATTAAAACATATAACATTTGATATCACTAGCAGTAGGCGGGTAGTGACGGACGTAGTAACACAAATATTTGTTCAATTAAAGTGTATTCACATTTGGTGTATGTTTGTTTTGAATTTCGCGTAAAGCTACACAAGGGCTATCTGCGCTAGCCGTCCCTAATTTAGCAGCGTAAGACTAGAGGGAAGGCAGCTAGTCATCACTACCCACCGCCAACTCTTGGGGCTACTCTTTTACTAACGAATAGTGGGATTGCCTGTCACATTATAACGCTTCCACGGCTGAAAGGGCGAGCATGCTTGGTATGACGGGGATTCGAACCCGCGATCCTCAGATTGCGAGTCGATTTGGTGTATGAAACCCGTTTATTTCTGAACATTCATCGTGTTAGGTTCAACTATTGACAGTTGGCTTTTTCTCTTTCTGAATAAGAATTTTATTGTAATTGTGTTTGTTGTTCATATGTAGAAACTTAAAGGGATTAAACTATAGTTTAGTAATAACTAGTCTCTAGTTTCAGAGTTACCTTGCTGTATGGTTTTTATATTCTCAGTAAACTTGAGGTGCAAATTGAAACTTTTTGTTTTCAAAGTAAATTATACACTGCTCAAAACACTTACCAACCAGAACAAAACACGAATATTGGAACTTTATGTTTCATTGCTTGTTCTTTCGTCATTATTTCACTCATTAACGTTTAAATATTTTTTTTTATTGTCGGTAATTATTCACTCAATATTGAAGACCCATTTTTCATGAAGTATGTTTTGTCTTCTTAGTTTTCTAATTAGTATCTTTTAAGCACTTGGAATATCTATCAGTGTTACTTCTTAATAATTAATAGACCTACGATTCTCAAAATACTTATTCCAAAATGACCAGTTTGAAACCTTCTATTTCGACATAAAAGTTACCCGCTATACAAAAGTATCATAACTTCAGCTTATAGAACCTGATAACGTTAGTAATTTAATAAGTTTTATGGGAAAGATTGTTTGATGAAATTATATAATGTATTTTTAATATTATCTTTATAACATTCTGAATTTAGTTTGGTTAATATGATAAGCATAACTCAACGTCATAAATGTTGTTGTTTATTTAATAAAAGGACAAAAATGTGCAAGTTGGGCATTTTGATTACAATCTATTACCAGAAATATATATGTATTCTGGAAGTTGTTTCACTTTTATTGTCATCTTTATTTTCCATGTGTATCGAATCCCAAGTAGATACATTTGTTTCTTTTTTTTTTGGTTTGTGTGTAAAAAAGCAGTCAAAGGCTCACAAAAGATCTATTGATCTATTATACAGATAATATTCATTCACTATATTTTGCATATGAACTTAAAAAACTGCGTCTAACATGGGGACTCACCAGAAAAGAAAGTTATTCAAGCTCTTCTTTCTCATATTAGGAGTTTTGAATAAATCCAAAAATGTGGCTTGGCGATTACGTTTCATTTCTTCTTCCTTAAAACAAGAAGAAAAAAATGCATTTTTTTTTCTTCTTTTTAATTAAACTTTCACCAGGAGACTTATTTTCGGCAGGCCTTTTATTTTATTTTTAGCTCCCACCCCTCGCCCGTTGGCTCAGTAATAAGTCTGAGGGCCTATCTTGATAAGGATCGGAGGCTTATCAACAAGAAAACAAACAACATTTTTCGTCTAATTGGTTTTGAGTGTACATTGAATTACAAATGCACGTGCTCTCTCCGTTGCTTATTTTAGCCATGAATCTCTTTTTTGTATAAAGAGTTCTCATGACTAGTACATTTAATCTTTTTGACATTTTTTACTGAGGCTGTTGAATTTATCCTTAATTTTGTTAATTGATCATAAGCCAAATGCACAACAGGTTCAATTTCGAAAATACAAATTTTCAGGAGCTTTATTATTTTTTCTGAGTAAATGTAATGAAATTATATTTTTGCAATCTCTAAAAATGTCAAACTATTCATACTTTCTCGAGGTTGTCCTACGCTAGCACACGTTATTTTAAAGTTTTTCCAGGTTGTCCGAAAATATCACATATATCATTTTATTTTTTTTCCCAGATAGGCCAATGTTTGCATATATATTATTTTCACACTTTTCCCAGATTCTTGTATTATTTAACTGGTTATTTTTTCATAACTGATGCTTGAACCATTTAGCTTCTCTATTTTTCATTATAGTTTTTTTTTGTGGTGTTCTTTTCTTGGGTATCCTCGAGCTTATTATCTTTGGATAGATTATTCTGACAATTTTTCGGATCTACATTGTAACTCTATTAAATTAATGATCTCTAATGTGTGTGTCAGTTAATTTTATATTTTCCTGGAGTATCGCTCCATTCACCACATCCTAGCAGGTGCATAATTAAAATGCAATATATACACCGCTGAATGCAAAGTTTTTACTTTAAACCATTAAAATAATCACCTAGCTTAATAAAGCCGGTCAACCTTAACCTACCTGCTTTTCTTTAGTCATAAGTTGGGCCATGATTACCTGCCAGTTCGAGACTATTTTACCGTTGACTCTTGCAGCATTTCTTATTTCCTTTTCTGCCAGTTTGACCTTTCCATGTGATAGTAGCCAACGAGGAGATTCTGGAAGAAACCTAAATAAAATAAGGAATTATTAACATTTATATAAGAATACGGTGTATAATACAGATCCACTGATTACTCCTTTTTTTCCTGACCCCGACAAAGATAAATCTGAGCTCAAACGTCATTTGTAAATTTAATTATTCATCACTTAAAAATCATATTTTTGTAGATAATGCTTTTATAAAATAGTACTCACAAAGACTTAATTATACTGTCCCAAATATATATATATATAAAATTCAACAGAGCGACAGCAACCGCAAGGGGCTATAATTATTATTAGCACAAAACAATAAAAAGAAGACAGTTTCTTTTGTTAATACAATTACGTCAGTATTTAGACGTATGATAACAGGACACAGCATTGGCATTAAGGAGTAAATACCGTGCCCACAACTGGTCGCGGATGTTGCAAATGTTATTGGACTCAGAAAGTTGTGAGCTTGAGAACATGGTACTAACTCCTTTAGTGTCGGCCCGGCATGGCCAGGTGGTTAGGGAGCTCGACTCGCAATCTGAGGGTCGTGGGTTCGAATCCCCGTCACGCCAAACATGCTCGACCTTTCAGCCGTGGGGGCGTTATAATGTGACGGTCAATCCCACTATTCGTTGGTAAAAGAGTAGCCCAAGAGTTGTCGGTGGGTGGTGATGACTAGCTGCCTTCCCTCTAGTCTTACACTGCTAAATTAGGGACAACTAGCGCAGATAGTCCTCGTGTAGCTTTGCGCAAAATGCAAAACAAACCAAACCTTTAGTGTTTAGTTATTTGCTGTTGTTTTTATAACGGTTGTTCCTGGTCAATATATCTGAAGTTCCCGATTAATAAGTGTTAATCAAAATTATAGCTTACGACCTTTTTAGCACACCAATTACAGCAAACCAATAATATATACTGTTTTCAGGCGTGTCGCGTTGGTTATATTCATAGGCGTGTGGGGAGTTTCTCGAAAATTCAGATTATGTAACAATACAAAGCTACACTGGCATTTACGCACACACATATATTGTTGATTCTTACACTCGAGAGTCTTCTACAATTTTAGAGAGTAGGCGGGAGTTTCGCAATACATATTTAACAGTATACGTTATGTACATTTCTAAATATAAATTAAATTGAAAGAAACTTTGATATTAAAATAAACATATAACAATAAATCCGTCACATACAGATAAATTTCAAATTAATCTTCGAATGTGTTTAAATAATTGAGTTAGGAACATATTTGCCTTAGTTGAGCTATTGCCTAATTACAATTTGAACATTATTTAAGGTCACCGATTTGAATTCCCTCCGCTAAACACGTTCGCTCTTTCAGTCATGAGGGCTTTATATCGTGGCGGTCAATTCCATTATTTATTGGAAAAAAGTAGCCCAAGAGTTAGTGGTGGGTGGTTATGACTAGATGCCTTCCCTCTAGTCTATTACTTCTAAATTAGGGACGGATTATACAAATAGCCCCCGTGTAGCTTCGCGCGAATTTCAAAGCAAACCGAAACGGAGAGCAAGGAATCGATTTTTATATTTAATTATTTTAAAAACTAAAAGAATCTAAATGTAATAATTTGAAGAACACTTAAAATTTAATCTACAGAACAAAAACAACAATGTGAGTGAATGCGCGATATTATGTTTTTTACAAGTACTTTTTGTGAAGAAATAAATAATAATAATACCATAACCAAACATCATCACAAAACACGTTTTTCTGATTCTAGCATTGCTAATATTTTATTGCTTCTTATGTCTTTGATTGATAAAATTATTTTATAATTTGGTATCTAAATGATCTTGGAGTTATGAATAACGTTTGAATTCAAAGGAAGAGCTTGACAATAATTAATATTCATTAAAAAACCCAAATCACATGATCATCGGTAGCACTTATAAAGATGTAAAATTTAGGTTTCAAGTTAACAGTTAAAATAAAACTTTTGAAAAACTGAGAATTATTTCATATTCAGTTTTTTAAGACTGTTCAAATACATGCTGCTATAAGGTGAATTTTATAGAAGTAAAATAAGTTACAGTAATTTTTATACAGTTAACGAAGGATATAAGTACGTTATGGTATATAATTGATACTTGAAACCGTCGGTACTTAGTGAAACTCCATAATTACAGAAGTACAGTCCAGAGTTTGTACACATGTGAACCTTCATTACATCTCACATGTTTCCAACTTTCATTAGATTATGATGCAATGCTCGAATCACTGTCACAGCATCCCAACTGGTAATTTATCTTCAAACTTTAGTGGGGTATGCTTTTTGCAAACAGATAGCCTGCTATTTAATGTTTTGGCTTATATATCCAAGCAAAGTTAAGCCCGTCATTGGATGTTGCTGCTGAATCTGATGATCAGTTTACCTCACCATAACCTGTTACCATCTCCCATTGAGATATTTCAATGAGTTATATGGAGAAGTTGGATATTCCTGACAAGAAGTATTGACTTCTTTATAATAAACACTTCCATATCCAAGTTTAATGATGGATCAAAATCAAGTGACTTTGTAGGTTCTGCCAAGGTTTACTGGAGTTCAATATTTGTTCACAGATTCGCCTCTATAGGCTCTCTATTATCTGTTGAGTTGTATGCAGTCCCAGTTGTTCTGGAATACATAAAAGATAAGTATTATACTAATTTTTATCATCTATACAAATATGCTTACCTTTTTGAAGGCACTGGAATTGATTAACATCAGTTCTCTCGCAATTCTCTTCAGAAACAACTGGTCTATTTCTCACTGTCTTCTGTCACGACATTATTATTTTTTATTCCTCGCCACATAGGTATCTGAGGTAATGAGCTCCTGATACCACAGCCAAAACAGCATCCTCTGGCATCATCACAGCCTAGTCTATTCTATATTTAGATTTTAAGCCAACCAATTGGCAGAAAATTTTGGATGAGCAGAGACACAATTATATTTTCTAGATAAAACCTAATATGCTGGTTGCCCATCTAATTTGTGCAGGCGTCGAAAGGAGGAAGTTTCTTCACAAGGCTCCACATTACCCACATTTTTATTGCTCATCGTTTTCTGTTACAATAGAATGACCATCAATGTGTGAGCACTGTGGCAAACAAGTCACTGTTGTCGAACTCTTACTTTCATAATGTTGCTAGAGGCCCAACTTTAGACAAAATTTACATCATAGTGTCCCTTTGACATTGTACAGTGTCATTGCAAATATAATAATATCCAGACGGATCGCATTTTAAATTTTTATGGGTCATAGGTCTTTGTAGTTCTATTTAATATTTTGTCCTTATAAAACGTACTTTTTTGTTTTATGTTTTCATCTTACACACACACACTTCATTTATCCTTTCATAGTTTTCTTGTACATAGTGCACAAAAAACGATAACCTCATCTAACCAACTGCTTGGTGCAGATAGTATAAATCTTGTGCCTAAAAACTTCAAACCAACCAATCATTCCAAATATGTCATCACTTTGTATTCTAAGTAAATTGCCAAGTGCTAAAATCCCTTTTCAATTACCATTATTGGATTAATGGATAGAATATTTTCTCACTTGAACAAGCAGCTTGATCATTTGTTTTCTCGTACTATTATGCAAACAACACTCCTTTTCCCAATGTTAAAATCCCTATCTACGGACCTTTTTTTTTTTCCATTAACTGACCTCAATCTATAAACTTTCATAATATAAGCATTTAACGAGAAAGGAAACTTTCTTCATTTTTAGATTGCAGATGTTAAGAATGAGATCAGTTTTTGTTTTGAAGAAAGTCGCTCATTTATCCGTGGTATTTCGTGGCTGGAATAATCGTACCAAGTGTTTCGGAAACTACAACACTGTCATCAACGCTGATGAATCTCGCCACACTACAAATTGTATGGTATTTCAGTTTTGAAACATTATTACTCAGCTGGGAATATAAAAAAAATGCTGTACTTTGTAATGGGGCCAATTAAGGCCACTTCATAAATATTGATAAATGAGTATCTACCCCCCCCCCCCCAGCGTTATGAGTGTGTAGCTCATTCAATGCAGTCATTTAATATGATGTCGAGAATTTGAAAAAACAACAACAGAAAACATGTTCACATTAGATTTCCAATTACATTTTTCTCTAATTCCAATACCACACGCATAGTCGACAGATAAGTTGCTTTTTGCTTTGATGGATTACCTAGACAGTATATCCATTACAAGTTAAGGTGATGCAATGCACAGAGACTGCCACATGAAATTTCGTTTCTTTATGGTCTGACGAAACTCGGAAGTCGTTTAATCGCAGATCAATGAGCTGAGTTACTAGCTGGAACAAAGAATGACGCATATCAATCTCCTGACAGTGAAACCAAATAATACTGACCTGTAATAATAATTCCATGTGATAGTCGTAAAAGAATATCCCATTCACAACAACGTTGGATACAATACAACTACTCAACCAAATAGCAGGTGGCATCTTTGACTGTATAAGCAATAGAGAGCAAGGGTTGAATTAACACATGCACTATCCTGGATTTACCAGATTTTGAGTTAGAACTCTACAGGAATTTAAAATGTTTGTTTCCTATATTAAAATTATATTATATAACAGTGAGACAAAATATTTGTAACTATATTTATCAGTGATTGCTGTATATCATGGCACTACTTGTGAATGCTTGTATTAAATTTTAAGAACTTTATGCAGTTCTTTGAAATTATGGCAACGTAGCGCACGTAACACACACCGTAACACACATTTGTAACAAAAAAGAAGCAAGAAGTTATAAGTTAAAACTTTTGTTTACCTTGACGTTCTGCCTTATGATATTTTGAGGTGATTAACCCTCTACCAATCTCAAAAGTAGTTTTAGTACAACTAATGTATTCTTAACACGATAACATAATGTAACCATAAGTATTTTAAAACAGTTATTTTGTGACGATAGAGAAACTAAAAAAAAATACATAAACTATGCCTAATTAAAAATACCTCAAGTAAATACATATTATACTAAAATATAATTAAACAAGTTATTCTTTATCCTTGTTTATAGATGGTTTTCGAAAGCTAATAAAAGTTTACATTTGTTCTCCATCTTAAAGAAGAAGGGGTTGTCACAGTAAGGTAAGCCTTGTTTATTATCATCGTGTAGTTTAGCTGAAGAATCATTGGGTGTCTTTTTAAAGGAATACTTTTTTATGAGTAATTATTACATGCTGAGCATTATTTGTGAAAACGTACTATATTTTGAGCAGTGTTTACAAAGTACTTTATGTACTCTTCGTTTAGTTTGTAAATGTATGCAGTTAAAAAGTTATTTGAGTCCTGTTTTCTGTAGCTAGAGCATTAAAGTGTGTATTTACTATATACTGTTTATGAGTGCAATACTGTGCCTTCTTTGGGAATATTTACTGTACAATATGTTAGTACTGACAGTAAGTTGATACTTGTGTGTGTGTATTTAATTAATGAATGATTACTATATTTTGAACGTTACAGAAGTATATTTACTCTAACTTTAACACTGTTTGTGAGGGTATTCTTGTTAGTGTTTATTGTAATTTAAATACGTTGTGAGAATGATTACTATGCCCTAGTACTGGTTTGGTTTGTTTGGAATTAAGCACAAAGCTACACAATGGGCCATCTGTGCTCTGCCCACCACGGGTATCGAAACCCGGTTTCTAGCGCAGACATACCTTTGTGCCACTAGGGGGGTCCCTAGTACTGTCTGTACTTTTTATTTTTTAACATAGTTTGTGAATATTATTGTATCTTGAGCTGTTTCTTGTTTTTTTATCACCTGAGCTTTTTGACAAATTTCGATTCTTGTTTTTATTTTCATATGAATAATTTTGTGTTTAGATTTGATTAGACTGAGATTTTAATAAGGAATTTAGAAAATTTTTGAATGTAGAAAAGCAAAACTTACTATATATAAATATTCATATGTATGTTTGTGTGTGTGGTCTTTGCAAAAGCACTCTATTAACAGTGCATCGATTAACTAATGATATGAACATTGGTTATGTCTTCGGATTGTCAAACCGAGGATTCCCGTTTCGCATTTCGTTGTCACAAAACCTCGCTCCTCACTTTGGGGCTGTGAGTTCGCTATGAAAATGCGATTGAGTTAAATCTCACAATTCAGTCAAAGAACAGTAGCTCTAGAGTTGGCGGTAGGTACTATTGACAGCTTCCTTCTAGTGTATCAGCTCGCACACATAGAACGTTTATTTTTTAATGCAAAGGTACGAAACTTTAAGTTATCTGGAACCGTTTTTCTGCCAAGGTATTTACAACAGTGGTTCCAAATTTTTTAAAGTATAGCTGTATTTCAAAATTTGAGAAATTTTTCCTTATTGGAATTAAATATGTCTTAAAGTTTTAGTCTTTGCTCTTGTCTGTAGCTGTAACCTAGTAAATAAATATATTTCGGTATATTTTATATGTTATATTATATAAATGGTGATCAAAATCATTCTCTTTCTCTTACATTTACCAGATTTTGTAGTTGTGTATATTTGTCAGATATTTGATTAAAGGGTCTTCTACTGTACCAAGTAATGATATTTTAAGGCTTTTCAATTTGTGGTTTTTGGACTAATAAAAGTCTAGATATTTATATCTATTTAAAATTATATAAATGTATTAAATGCTGCTTAATCTGCCTTTTCAGAAATTGTGAAAGTTTGCCTAAAATTATCTGTTTTCAAAATTTATTATCAGTAAACACTGATGTTTCCACTCCTAGATTTTATACCTTTATTTCTAATTTCTATAGTTATATACGTGAAAATATATTACACAGAAATATATTATGAACGGCAACTATTTACAGGGCAAGAGTGAATCGATATATATAACTCTAGAATATGAGTTCAGTCATCTAGAATAACATTCTTTTTTCTTCAAGTTGATCGAAACAGCTTTTATAGATTTTAGAAATAAAGCGTAGAAGAATAAAACGACCCCTCCACGCAGTTGATCAACGGTAAGTTTGAGGACTTTCAGTGCTAAAATCTGGGATTCGTTGGTTAAATTTCCTGCGGTGTACAGAGCATAGATAAACCGCCATGCAGCTTTGCGCTAAAAACAACCAAATATGGAGTAAATAGTTTGAATAATTTTTAATTTTTCTACTGCATTATTTTAATTATAATGAGGATAATCCTCGAAGTATAAATGACACATTACCACCAAATACTACAAAGAAGTATCCAGGGGACACTAATGATCAGCTGAAAATGTCTCCACTTTTTCACCAAAAAAGCAACACCAGGTAGAATAGTATAGCCTAATGCCCAGCCAAATTGGTAACAAATTCCAAGAATAGAACGATACTCTGGTCCAATTACTTCCAAGACTGAAAAAGAAAATTATACATTAATAGAAATAACTATGAAAACAGACAAATATACATATACAGGAACCACAAACAACGAATAATTAAACTTAATTGAAAAAAGATTTGAATTTGACAAAGGCTTATAAATTAAAAGTTCTCAAGCTTGCAACCACATCATAAAATCAACGATTCCTTTCTCAAGAAAGATGGCCAAAGACATATAAATTCATAATTATCAGGATATTCGGGATGATATAGATACATTGGTCACTAATATGCTGGATGTGTATTGTTAACACACGACTTCACAAATCTCTGCAAAGAAAACTTGAAGAGATTCACATTAGAAAGTTGTCTTCAGTCACATCCGTGTCTCGATTACATAGTGACATTGTGCATAAACCTAATAGAAACATGCAGTGGTTTCATACATACAAAATAATGCAGCTTAGAAATAAATTGGTCAATTAGTATGGTAACAAATGTGTTGCTGCCAACATTGTCATAAAAGAAAAAATTAACCAACACTTTGTCATCAAGAATATTACATAACACCATGAATTTTAGAGGAACCACAGGTTTATATAGGATGGGATCAGTAGCGACAATTAGGTGAAACAGTTTCATCACCGATAAAGTACGTTGTTTTGGCTTACCCAGATGCAGTCTTTAGTTATAAAGTTCACTGCAAATCACTTATCGACCTTGTTGTCTTAAACTTAGCAAGCAGCCTCGAAACAACAAACAGAGTAATTTTACCTTGCCTTGAATGATTCATGTTGAAATTATCTAACATCTGTCGTTGAGCTAGCTCACATATCACGATAACCTTCACCGTTCCACTCCTGTTCAGTCTCATAGTCACGATATGTCAGCAACTAAGTAAAAAACATGTGCCAGAGGAATGAAAGTTGGCTAATGCTACTCCTCTTTTCAAGGGAGGTGGTAAACTTTTTCCCAGTAATTTTAGTGGTGGGGAAACGTTTTGAAAGTCTGATAAAAGATGTTTTGCAAAGTCATTTAACAAAGTATAAAACTTTATTGGATAATTAGTATGATTTCACTAGGGTAAAGTCTTGTTTTACTAGACTTTTGACATTCTTTGAACAGATAACTGCTTATGTAGATGAGTATACATGTGTGGATTTAGTTTATCTGGATTTTCAATAAGCATTTGACATGGTATCACATATATGGCTTATTAAAAGATAATCTTTGTAGGTATGGAGGATAGATTGGCACATTGGATAGAAAACTGGATAGATGGAAAAAAGAAAGGGTTGCTATAAATGGGGTCCAGACCAAATGGATTAATGTCACAACTTGGGTACCACAGAGCTCCGTGTTATGACCTTCGTTCTATTTGATTTATATCAATAACAGATGAAGGAATGGTTAATAAGTTATTTACATTTACCGATAACATTAAAGTTTTTGGTGTCACTAGCTGTGAAAAGGAAACTGTTGTTTACAAAAGAATTGGGTGAATAAATTACAGACGGCTTTTAGTTATAATAAATACAAGGTCATGCACGTGGGATATTATAATTTGAATTATGAGTCTAATTTTGATGGGAATAACTTTAAAAAGTTATGGAAGAAAACAGTCTTAGCGTTCTGGTTGACCAGTCTTTTAAGCTATCGAAATAATGTGCTGTTGCTAGTAGCAGGGCAAATAGGATTTTATATTTTAATTACAGAAATATTTTATAATAAATTTAAAGATATTATAATGTCTGTTTGTTTGTTGGTTTGTAGTTAAGCACAAAGCTACACAATGGATTATCTGTGCTCTACCCACGACGGGTATCGAAACCTGGTTTCAACCGTTGTAAGTCCGCAGACATACCGCTGTGCCACTAGGAGGCTATAATGTCACTGTATGTGTCATTTGTTAGACCACATTTGGAACATTGTGTTCAGTCTTGGTTCATTAGAAAGGATATTTAATTGTTGAGTTCAGAGGATGTTGTCATACAAGGACAGGTTAAGATCTCTGAAACTGTTTTCTCTTGAAAAAAAGAGGAGATCTGATTAAGATGTTTAAAATTATTACGAGTAATTGATAGTACTGATGTATAATATTTTTTTCGTATTTAATAATGAAAAGGGTAAAACTGGGGGACACAAATATATGTTTTAGCAGGGAAGATTCATCATCAGGTAATACAGTTTTATTTTTCTAACAAGGTTGCCTTCAGATGTAGTAGATGTAGTTAATTTAAAGGAGTTTAAGGGAACATTTGATAAATATTTGAATGATAAGGGCTGGCTTGGAGTTTTTTTTAGTGTTTAGTTTAGTATAGTAGATAGGACAGCATATTAGATGGACCAAAAGATCCCTTGTTGTCATTTAATGTTATGTTACGTAAGTGCGTTTTGGAACATTCGCTAGTGCGTTATCATGGCCATCAGAGTATGCAAGACAGACAATGTAGAAATTTTTTACAAGGGTAGCACGGTATCTAGAACATTGTACTTATAAAAATATGATTAACCCTCAGTAGAAATATAATTGAAATAATTGATATCGAAAAGTTTGAATTCTATAAATATAAACAATGAAATTTCAAAAGTAAATATATTTACGAATTAATGAAATATTGCCAATTTAGGAATTGCAGATTTGTCGGGATCTTGCTGCACGCAAACGTTTTTTCTTTTCTGTTTCTACAAAGTAGATTACACCGCAAATGCAGAAAACTCTGTAAATTACACGTCTTTATTTTATAGGGTTACTAAATCGCTTTACCCTTGTCAGATTATTATTACACTTTTTTTCCAGATTGGAAAAAAACTCCGATTTTAAATGTTTTACAAATTATCTTGAGTTTATAACTTAAATTGTGCACAAACGATAAGAAGAAGGTTCGCTACTTAGGAAATTGTGACAGTGTTTTAGGATTTCGTGATTGGTAAAGGAGTGTTTATAATAGGTTTTTGGATGAGTCATATTTTTTATTTTATGCTTTGGTCATCATAAATTTTGCCTGCTCTCATTTGGAAAACTCGTCGTCCATAGAAAACTCAGTCTACGTGTAATGTTCTATTGGGTAATACTCGCTATCATTGATTCCTCTGACTTAATGAACAGTAATATAGCTCGCAACTGTAATTTTCTGTGTTACAGCGTGACTTTAGTAACCTAATAAATTATAAAATATTGTCATATTGCAATAATTAATAAGGATTTCTAATAGAGAGTAAGCTAACTATACAGATAAGAGATAACATAATTCTAAAAAGTGACATAAGCTAATGAAGACGATTCTGTATACCAAACTGATTAGAAATATATATTTCTATAAATCAAGACAACAAAAACCTATAATGAATAGAATGACTTGAATCATTAGCTGGGTATCCCTGCTTTTAACGATATTATAACCTATAATGTAATGTACTAGAGCCAAATGAGTGTAATGGAAAACAACTAAATTGTTTAAACATCATGTTTACACATTAATAGTAGAATAAATCACAGCAAAATAAGTTTAGGACCCCACATTGGAAGTGAATAACCAAATCTCCAAATATTTCAAAATATTCTAGCATTAATGACACAGTATATAATAAAACTTGTAGCTTCATTTATATAGTTGTATTTTGCGTGTTTTACGATAATGCTTAAGCAGAAATTTATTTTTAGACCTGTACATTTATCTAATATTGGCACTCATATTCTGCCTTTTTTACTCATTTTAAGTGGGTGACACTGACACCATTTTCATAGAAACAACCATATAAAACTGGTTTCATCGAATCAAACAAAATCAATACTTCGAAAAATAAAATACAAACTATTGATATGAAAAATAAACTCAATTAATACTATTAATAGTCAGACGTTTGTTATAAAATGTAATTCAAGTACAGACATAATGATGTACAGTTATCTGATTAGTTCATTTGGACCATTTGACACTCACTTGCATAGAAATGAAAACTCCAGACGCGGTATAAGGTAAATTTCAGAATTCAATCAAATTATTTCTTTTAAAACCTTATATCATGCAGGGTGTTAAGTGGTAAATGGTCATTATTCGGACAATAAACACGTACTGTTATTTCGCACAACTACTTCTATCTCACCAATATTGTAAAACTAACTCAAAGTACAGATAAAATATTTTACGTTGTTGTACAAACAACAGTTTTCTGCGACTGTTTTTGGTGTCTTCATTCTGTAAGTGTTAGAGGTTAAAACTTCAATTGTGGCATAAAGCAAAGTTACTTAAGAAAGCCAAATGACACTTGAGTATAAACATTTTCAGCGACTGTCAACTAGGAGAGTCACGCATCCAAAAATGGGGATTGCCCATATACCCAATACTGGCTGTTTATTGCTGATATTGATATACCAATATATGTATATACATGCATTTTCTTGGTTATATGCAGCAATGCATGTGTCAAACTTGAATGTTTTTTCTGTAAAGCAACTGACAGATTCTACAATGAGAGTAAGTCCAAAGTATCATTCCAAATAAATACTATAAGTACGTATAATACAAAGAATAATATGTATAGTACATGCAACACAATATGTTTAGTAACATTGAACACAACATACAGTATGAGCACACAATGTGCGCACTGAAAACATTGTACAAGAGACAAGTGAACAATTATCTTCATCGACTATTAACAGCAAAGTGATTCTAGAAATTAGCATGAGTAGCTTTTAACTAGATCAACTTCTCTTGTTTTGAACCAAACAATAGCAAAATCAAGTCACTGAGTTGCTGCTCTACCATGGTGATATGGAGCTTGCTCTTAACAAACTTGAATACTGAAAGGAAGCACTTGCAAGACCAAGAAGTAATGATAGAGCAATCAGTCGATGTATCAGTCGATACATCTCTGTGAATTGTCCTTCACCATATTGTAATAAATTTGTTGTTATGTATTTATTTTGATATCAACGTTTGTTTAGATACATGGCTTATACTTTTGGGTATGTATTGCGAGACTCCCACCAGTTCTCCAGAGCTGTAGAGGATTTTCGAGGGTGGGAATTAACAGCGTGTGTGTGTACGTAAACGCTTTAACTAGTATTGTTACGTAAGACTGAAATTTCTAGAACGCCTCTACACAGCCGTAAATATGGCCAACGCGAAGCGCCAAGGGAAGACTATCTATTATTAGTTCGCTATTGTCAGTGTGCTATAAACTTCGGAAGCTATAACTGTGATTGTTATAACACTTACCAATCGGAAAACTTCAGATATTTGACCAGGAACCTTTACTAAGTTCGAACATTACAAATTATTTAACTCGAGTGGATTCTCATCGGACGTTAGCATTTTTACGAAAACATTACTTAACGTCACCCGTGGAAAAATAGGCGTGTGATCAGTAGAGACCACAGGACTAGTTAGCTCCCTATTCATTGAATTGTACCTACGTCAACTCGTAATTAACTCGCTCATCGTGAACCCTCGATAAGATATCAAGGAAGTTCCAGACTAGAAAGATGGCTTTATATTATTTGTAACTTTGCGAAACTTTTGTTTATAAATCTTTGTTTGTTGT